AAGATTTGAAAATTTAATACAAGGCGCCTATCATATTTTTACAATAGCAGTTGAAAAATAAAAGAAATATATATATAATTTTTTTTTGAAGAAATGCATAGTCACATTATTTTTACTAGCATTTAAATTTTAATTATGACAACATACGTAAAAATCACGAAAATTCACAAATTATTATTAAGCTAGAAATTCATAATAAATTATCTTTTTAAATCTAAGATTTGAAAATTTTGAATAATCTATAATATATCCTAGACAGATAAACAGTCTCCGTTCAGATTCGTTTTGCGTATACAATGATACCTATCATTGCATTTACATGTAACCTAGCCTAGTCAGAGGTCCACCCCACCCCCTAATGTACAGCAGAGCGATACCAACTTACCCGTTTTTTTCATTTTAAAAATTATTTAAAATCCTTAATATAAATCGGAAATGCAATTTTATTTTCATTCAAAATATGTAAATACACTTATCCCAACATTATATGTATATAGTAATATACTTTGTATCTACTGAAATKTATATGTATATTATTCCCTACGCAAACATTGTAAATAATATAGGCAGTTAATAACGATCCGCAGTTTGTTATTGTATACAATTTTAGTGTTTAAATTWGGAAACTATCAAATTTGTCTGGGAATTTTGCATAACCCACAATAATGGAAAAACTAAGATACAGTTATCATTATGTGTAGGCACTAGCATTTACATATTTTTATGAAAGACCAGAAGTTTTCAGATGACTAAGCTAAACATATTATTTTGTATTGTAAAACAAAGTATCAACATCTCAAATGTTGTGAGACTTTTACAATGTTTCAAGTTGTTTTGATTTCTCGTTTCGTTTTTTCACGTTTCTCTTTACGTTTACAAATATAAAATTAAGTTTTAAATTTTAACTACAAAATTATTTGCATATTTGAGACTGATTTTATAAAAATTATAACTTAAAACAGTTATAAAAATTGACTAATGCTTATTAAAAACTTATACGTGAACTTATATTAGATTATTAAGCACCWAAATAAGAATTAAATATTTTTAAATTTCTAGAAAATTGGTTTAATAAATATTTGTTAAAAAGATAAAGTTTCTAAATTTAATTTTGAATCACAAAAACCAAATGAAATTAATTTGTGTAAAAAAATCTGGTTTTACGTACACATTCCCGATTTTACTTTATTTTTTATCTTTTTTTCCAGGATTGTTTTAAAAAGTTCTACAATGTTAATGTATCATGTGAATTCTTATAAATTTTCGGTGACATAAAAAATTGATTCATTGTTAATGTTTCAGCTCATTAGTCATTACTTTGTTTGATAAAAACATTTCCCCC